CAGCCTGCGCGGCCCTTGGTGACCCGGGCGACGACCGAGCCGGTATAATTTTCGAAGGCGTCAATACCATCAATTAATGATTTCATAGCTAATTAATAATAATAATTAATTACTTTTTGCTTTCCATCTGTTCGACCAATTTGCTGTATTTTTCAAGCGCCGGTAGACACAAGGAAACGGCGTCAACGGCAGACCCGATATTACGCTGAAGCTTACGTTCGCTAAGGATCTGTTCGGCCCTCTGCAACATGACCTTGCTGTTTTCCTTGAGGAATTTGTCGATCGTCGAGATGTCCGTCTTCAATTCCGTGCACTGCGCCTTCAGTTCCAGCAGCTCCTGCACCGACTCGACAAAACTATGGTAGTGAAAACTGCATAGTTTTTCGATTTCCTTGTCGTAGTTGGCGATCTTCCTTTCTAAGGAGCGAACGAACTTTGCAACGTCACCACCATCGTAGATGACCCTGAAAAACATATATACCACTAATATACAATTAATATATACCACTAGATGAACAAAAATTTTCAAGCCGATATGATATGATGCAATGAGGAAAAGGTCATCTACTCCATCTGATTATTTCAAATGTGCAACTTTAAACAAGAAAATTAAATCTGTGTTCTTCGTTACAGTGAGTCGAAGGATGGGTAGCAAGACGCGCACCAGCCAAAGATCAAGAAGCGTGTTCTGTTTATGCTACGTGAGAATCTTCAGATGTAATGCCGTCTGATCAACCTAAACTACTGACCGTCGTCTGCCATTTTGGACTGGAATATGGGTGAAACCCGTAATCAGACAGCGCATTTAATAACTGAATAACATACTGACTGTAAAACTCACTGTGCGTATATCGACAGTATAAACATCAAAGAATGTTCGTAAGCCAGAGTTTGTTCTATTAGTGAAATCTATTATGGAGGAATTATACCTTATTTGACTTGACAAGAACAACATCTTTCAGCTGTCAGTATTCGACCTGGATTTCTCAGCATTCAATTCGAAATCAAAAGCCTACATGATTAAGGCTTTTGCTACGACAAATTGCGTGCAATATGTGATTTTAAGAAATCTTTTGGGGAAAGCAGCAGATCTTTATCTTTATATGAAGATTCTAATTCTTAGATATTCAGAGCATAACTTAACATTAACTGAGCTTCTCTACTCGATGTGTAGTTCCAAGCAACAAGTTACTAAAACGAAATTCATTTCCTTTACTCCCACGTGCATTTCGACACCGCATATCGACGTCATCCAGCTAAAATACACTAATGAAACAGCACGATGTTAGGAAAAGCATTTACTTCACATCGGAATGAAAGGATCCATTGCTACAGTAATTCTACGAACAAATGCGACGATGACATTCTACTTCTCACGTAAATCGAATGATTTTCTACATTCCTGACACATTAGAATTTTGTTAGCTCGGAAGTAAAAGGATTCTTTTATTTATAGGAAGCTGTATGGTCGCTTTCTGTTAGCATGAATGACCAGAATGACCATCGTCTAGCTCAATGAGTGTAGTAGATAGAAATCATGAGAAACGATGTCGAATTGCGCCGTTTTCCCATTTTTCACAGGGCCAGATCCTCGCAACTCTTTTGGGCAACCCTTTTATCGTTTCTTTTTATTTAAATAATGTCACAGTCTTAGCACTGGGTCTCAAATATAACCTTTTTACGCTTGTAAGGCTAATGGTAAATCTGTGATATTAAAGCGTATTACAGATTGTAGCAAATTCG